TCGTCTGCGAATTTTCATTATGTAGTGAGCAAACTAACGAGCTCAGGTGAGGAAACCAAAATATATATTCCAACACTGACGATGCGTTCAACAGTTTCTTTAATATGTGAAATTCGATCTTGGAAGAAAACTCAGAAGGGCGTAATATTCCATGTGAAGAACGCGATGTGAATTGCAGTGAAAACACTGTGAACCAGTAAAAACGTGTTTAACACGTTACTCATCGCTTATATGCGTTTTTCGCCAAGTACATTGTGAAATATGTTTTTCCATATCACATTAAGGATTGAGAAAGCAACGCTCTCCAAAGTTTAATAACAACGGGGGGGAATGATGTTCCTAATGTGATGACATTTACATTGGAAACTTATTGGAGAATGTGGAAAATAAAAATGAGTTCCTCTCGGGAAAACTATAGGTTTCTGGATGATTTCCTGATGGCGAGTGAAACTCCAGGCGTTACTCTCCGTTGAGCCTCCTCCCCTTAGCGTTGGCTTTTGAAGAGGTCGATGATTCGGTTGTGTCAGAAAATGTTAATAACGACGACGAAGGCGTCATGAAAGGCGAAGTTTAAATCTGATGAAACTCTTTCTACTACAATATTTCGCGAAAAACGCGAAAAAAAACCAATTTTTTTCAACTTTTTTTGCGGAAATTTAAGTGTGGTTCTGGTGAAGTATTGAGTGAGGCCTCCGACCGTATTAGTAGGTAATGATGCTATTCCAGCCGAAGTTGAAAACTCATAGGATTTTTTCTATCACAAAATCTGTATAACATTGGAGTAATATCACAATATATTTTATAATATAAAATAAGACAATATTTATAATACTATTACAGTTTTACAATATTTAATAATTATAATATATATTTTTCACTAGTGTTCCTCATATCACTAGGGCGGTGAAATTCCAATAAATTTTGTGATATATGCAAACCTTCCTAGTGGTAGCCAATAATAGTGTAACACGATTGTTATCTACAAATCAGTAGAGCTAACTTCTGTCAATGTGATAATCATCATCTACCACGGTGTTACCTCCGCGATATGAAAAACAAATTTCACGTTCTACTAAAATGCGTTCTTACTGCCTCACACGACTCTTATTGCGGAGCATATACCGCAACAACAGATACTTTCGCGTTGTGCATGCGTGCAGAATTATTCTGGCTCAACTACGAAGCGTGGGAGGCTATCAGATAGATCAAACGACTCCTCTATATGCGGAGGTGTTGGGAAAAATCGGAAAACTCGATGATGCGAACAGCTAGAGAAGATATGTCCTACCCGGGAATCGAACCGGGGACAAACTCCAGGTGCGACTATTGGATGAATCAATAGATGAGGACTAAGCGAGCTCATCACGAAGATCTAGTTTTATTGAAAAATAACGAACTAACACAAGTCTTACCATCGAAGTGTGTTAACGATAACTACAAGAAGTGACGAAATTTTTATAACTCCAACAATAGTAAAAAAATACTCACATTTCTTCAATCTCCGGTGTAATAAAACCTGGCAAAAAATTTTCATCTAAAATTTTCCTCGAAAATTTCCGCTACTTTTTCCCATCGAATCATCCACATATTCCCATTCAGTTTCAATATTTGCCGAGCTCAACATCGATATCTTCTTCACTGTGCGCGCAAGCGTAACCGCATCTTCAGCGTTGGAGGTCTACAAATAACAACAATTTCGAAAACTAAAAATGTACTATAATACTCACCTGAACCTTGATGATGACGATTTTCAAAGAGCTCAATACACTCACATTTAAGGACGTCGTTTCAGCTGACAGATTCCTCTTGAAATCGATTTCATTCTGACCGAAAATGCATAATGGAGTTTCACAACAAGCCGTTTTACGTGAAGTGGTGGCGTAATACTCGGTGAAAAACTGGGTGATATGCAGTAGTAGTGAAATATGTTTTTCATATCACTAGAGTGGTGAAACTCCGATGGAGCTTCAGTCGATTTCTGTAGACTCCGACACTATTCGTGTGTAAACATCTATAATTAGTGAGAAAAATTATAAAATGCAAAAATAAAGCACTCAGCTAAGGAAAGCGAACGTATACTAATTTTTTCGTCAGCCTGAAGTGGCGTAATACTCCATGTGAAAATTGAGTGAATTACCCCGGAAAAAATCACCCCATTTCACGTCGAACACGAAATGCGAAATATATTTTCGAATAGTGTTTTTAATATCACTAGGTTGGTGAAACTGCAACTTCACGGGAAACCTTACCAATTGAGTTTTGATTTTTTTCATATCAGCATCATCACCAAGACCAACCATCAACGAAACTGAGAATATCCTCATCACGAGAGAATTATAAGATTGACTCACATCCTCTTATTTGTCGATTATCAAAGTCAGCAAGGCGTTTGTATTCCTCTTCTGTAACACCAGGTTTGCAGGTCCAACCACAACCGTTGGAGCAGCATAGCTCACCGGGACGAACTGATAAAAAAACAACAATGCTTTTAAAATAAAACTCTTACTAGATTTCGAAATTGCTGTTTCCCACAAGCTGACACGGCAATGTTCATTATTTTTCAGATGATTATATTGTAACTTCTACAATCGTCTGTCTGAGTGAACATATATTCCCTTTCGAAAAAATGTATACAAACGTCACTAAGCTGATCGCCGAGTTGCCGACTGCGACAGTTCCTAGTAAGGGAAATTATATTCCCATTGTGTGACTGCATCGAAAAGCTTAATCGCTGTGATAGGAAATAATTACTAATAACAGCGAAAGGGGAATGTATATATGTTTTGATAATAATTTGGAAATTCTGGGAGGGAATTATTGTTGATTTTTCTACACTTGTACCCAAAATCGTGTGTGAATTGGTAGAATATAGAGATAACATATAACTAATATTAATAATTACTATTAGGAATATTACAAAGTGATATACGATAATAAATTTACATTGATTGTTAATGATGATAGTACGAATATATCCATTATTGATATTATACCAAATAAATGATATCTTACAACCTAATACACACTAGATGTTTATCGCCATGATAGATATTCTTCTTCTACTAGCCAGTATAGGGGTATAGCTGCAGACACAGTCACTGCTGTCTGAGCTTTCAGTATGAACTCGTAGATAGTGTGTTACACAATAGATAGCTAACAATTATATAATATAATACATCATCTCATATAGATAGGCCAACGTATATAACTATTCATGAAACTAACGAGCTCAGCTGAGTAATAGAAACTAACGAGCTCAGCTGAGTAATAGAAACTAACGAGCCCAGCTGAGTAATAGAAACATATATTCCAATTACCACAGGGACTCTCTTCCGAACATTCCATAACGCATATACCAACTCGACCGGGGATGAGCGGTGGACAGACCAGTTCAGCTGCTGAGACGATAGTGAGTACGATCAAGTATAATGAGAATTTCATAATAATTAATAAATCTAAAAAGCATACCACAACTCTTTCAAAACACAACAAATTCGATGGTGACATACCGTGGGCAATTAATTGAAGCACGTGCTAAAGTCAATGTAATAATAAAAGGCCGATAAAGGACGCACCTATCGCTAGTGGTACTTTACGATTAGCCCTAGAGGGGCTATCCATGGTGACAGCAACGGTGACACCCCTCATACACGTGTGGCCACAACCGTTATAGCAGCATAACTCAGCGAGATCTGAATAAGAGACGAAATTCATAGTATATCAAGGGAGGCTCAGTGTATATTTACGTGAAGTGGCGTAATGCTCTGTAGAAAAGCTAGGCGATATTCGCGGTGATATGCAGTAGTCGTGAAATATGTTTTTCATATCACTAGGGTGGTGAAACTCCAATATTCACATAATACCTCCTCCCGTAATACGAAAATCACCGAGTTTTACGCCACTTCGTGTAAAACGGCTGAAAATCCATTATTACTATATTCACAATGCCATAACGATATTAGTATAACATTTTCCTCAAAAAGTCCTGATGAAAGACCACGAACGTTATTTGATCACCATACACGTTATGTCGGATACAACGGCAAATTTGACGTTGGTTTTTGAGCACTGCTTTCCAAATGTGTTGATCATATGCATATACGTAAAGAGAGAACGTTGTAAAAATGTTGTATATATTATTAGTATCGCATGAATATCGTCTTGGTTTTCGAGGCTCTGTTAGTATACATATATTCTTACACGACTTACCACCACAGGGGTGCTCTTGTGAGCAAATCTCGACGCATATCCCAGTTGAGCTTGATAACAACGGTGGGCACACTAGCGTCTCGTTAGTGCTGGTGGTCGTCTTGGAAAGGAGAGGTAATAAGAGTAGTGATAACCTCATTGAGTAGGGTGCAAGGAAATCTATATCCTGATAATGCTACTATGCACAAGTCATCAGTAATCTCGAAATGTGGTTGTTGTTGTGGTGATATGTAATGTTAAATTGTTGTGCATGATGATGTCATGCAACTCGTGCAATGACATTGTAAGAATGCAAGAGAGTCCAAGATGTCGGAATTGCACACATCCGTCAGCATCAGCCAAATGAGAACACAAGGATGTGGAGGCAAAGTATAATCTAAGTTTATTATTACATAGCATGTTGTTCTTCTACGCTACAACGGTTTCACTCTTAGCAAGTATGTGTATATACGCATGTTTACAGTGAGGAATGGAGAAGACACTCCGAGTGAGAGAGTGCTACTACCATGGTTACGCCTTAATCGGCGCGGTGCACCCTGCCAACAAACAACAGCTCCTTTTCTGTTGTTTACTTAGATCAAAGATATACAATACTTTCCTAAAAAATTCCATATTGTCATCATCGAGTTGATCATGCGCATATTCTCCAACACTGTAGATAGAAGGGGAAAAATAATATGTGAAGTAGTGTGCTTTATCATATCGAGGAGTATGTATCTTCAACCGCTACACAGTTGTTAACCGGCGATTATGCGACATCACAATGAGCGCGATAGCTCCAAAATGTCCGCCAATCTCCTTTCGGACAGCTTTTTACGCAAAACCCGAGAATATCTCCATAAACGAGATGAAGCCCAAGCAAGAGAGGTCAGACTCCTCAGGATAGAACACATGGTGACACCTGCGCTCAGTAGGTGTCACCACCATCATTTGATGCATCACCGATACGTAGTCGGAGCTATACACCTTCCAAGAGTGAATCTCCCAATAGCTGGCAAGCCGCACTCTTCTGTTTCCCGCGAGGCACCACCAAGCGTCCCGACGATCCAGCATTGTGGCCATCCGCTTCCCCCCATTATGCGATGAATGATACCAACGACGGTGAAGGAGTTTTGCTGTCTCCATAGGACTACGTTCTTCCCACTCAGCTCTGGCACAGGCATTGAGAAAATCACAGAATCGATTTCAAGAATTGCTCTTGACGAAGGAAGACCTAGCGGGCAAGCTGAAAGGCGTCACACAAGAAGTTCGCCGAATGCTCGTTGGTGCTGCGTAAAGTCGATTGCTCAGTTGCAACAGGTGAAAGATGACTATCAACGCCTTGAACACGAAGTGGAACATTTACGGTAAGAGAAAGAAAAGCGTCTTGGAATTTCGACCGAGTTTAATCACAGGGAAGAAAATCATCAGCTCCGCATGGAGGTAACAGAGAACCAGAGCAAGTCGTCTAAGGCTGAGAGAGAACTTAAGGAATTCCGACAAGACTCGTGGAACTTACATGTTAGTAGGAAGTTCATACCGTAACATTCTCAGAGATATGGACACCCTATTGCACAAAGAACGAGTCACTGATCTTCAGACGCGTTGTGACGACCAACAGATTCGTATAAGGTAACCGCTGTGTGGGGGACATGTGTTGGTGACGATATGAAAATTCTGAGAAGGTCTTATTGGTTTCTGTACACTTCTACTACTCGAACTCATATGTAAACTTCTGAACTCAGCTGAGGAGAGCAAGAATATATTCCACCACTGAGTGACCATTGCTCTGATGCGTGATGTTTGCATGTTGTAGAGAACTAGAGACAGAGCTCCGTGATATCGCTAGTGACGCAACAGCGGCTCGAGCGGATCTTCATCATACTTCATCCGCTGTTATTGAACTGGTGATGGAGAGGAATATCATGGAGTCCTTCCTCATTGAAGTGAGTATGTGGTATGCGCTGTTCGGCACAACATGCATATAATCAACTACATTTTGAGGAAATCTCGGGAAA